TTTGGGAATGCTGCAAGTAATGACATGTCTTCTTGTGAGTAGCATCCCAGAGGGATGTGATCAATTTGAGTTTGAAACTGACTTGTTCTGTAAGAAAGAAAAAAATGTTCATTAAACTGAATGGTGCACCACTTTCGCTCTCGTATGAAGTTAAAGAAACAAACTTTCCACTAAGCAAAGCATATTAAATCCTAATGCTAGCTGATCCAACTTCCCCTGTTGCACACAAAAGAAATGTTATTGCCACCCATGCTTCTGCACAGTATTTTATAAAGGATCTCCTTTATTAAAACAAGAGACATTCTTATCCTTTATTTCTTGATTCCCCTGCTTACATCTGGCATGACCTCCCACAGTTTCCAGGATGTAAATCTAGCTGTCTAATGACATCAGAAAAAAAAACATTTAGAGAGAAATACATCAATTATCTTTTCTTCTAGACAAAATCATATCTCGAAATAAGCACTTGAAGAAGTTATACCCTTTTTTTATCATATGCAACACAGTCATAGCTTCATATTCATCTATTATTTCCAAACAAACATAATACCCTGACACAAGCTTGAAAACTACGGTCCATGCTCGTTTCTTAAACTTTTCCAACTTCTTGAAGTAAACCATTATTTTTTCCTGTCCTGTTAGATTTCAGGGGCCACCATTGACAATCTCTTGGAAAAAAGGTTTTGTACTTTTGTCCCTGGACTTCTCTGTTTCAGTCTTTGTAGGAGAAGCTTTCATGTCAGAAAACTCATCCTGTTTTAAGCAGAAAGAAGCCACTTGGCAACGTAATCTCTTCATCTTTGGAGCACGTGGGAAGGCACTGACTGTGGAGCAGAGTGTACCTATGTGCTTAGCAGTCAGCCTCTGCTTTATCTGTATTAGTACAATTGTTCTGGAGTAGCAAAAGGGAAGAAGTTCAAAAAGTTATCACAATACCTTGACAATGGGTCTTTTGTAACCCAAAAAGTAGCATGTACAGACCGGAGGATAGTAGGGATACTGTGTACTTGACTACAGCCCATGAGACTTACTCTGCCTGTAGGAATTTTGCTGGTTTTAGCAGCCATCCAGAATTATATAATTCCTCAGAAATGTGAGGTTAAGAATAGAGAAATAGAAAAACAGGGTAGTAGGTTACAAAGAGAATATGTTTAGAGTTTGAGTCTGGCTGACATTATACATCCTTGCCCTTTTACCACAGATTGCTCATGAGGACTGAATAGTATTTCAGGTATATAGTGTAGACATCACAAAAAACTTCTGCTGTGTAGACACACGCACACAACTACCCCCTCACCCCCACTCCACAGACACAGACACGTACAAAAGCAATAAATACCACTGTTGTTCATGTCTTATAACAATCATAAATGGAAATCTGCATAACAGAAAAAACATGTGTTTATATTAGTGGATAGTTACAGCTACCTTTAATTGGATATTTTCAATGTACTCTGAACTACGGGATATCAGGCATGATCTGCTTTATTTTGGGCCTCTTCTAGATCCAATGAAATCAATGGCAAAATTCCTACTAAATTAGGTGATGCGTGTTCATCGGAAGAGGAAGTTGCATAACCATATATATATATATATATATATATACATTTTACATTGTAAAATGTCACTTAAATATTCTGTACTTATCACTTGAAGCAATTTTCTTCACAAATCTGAAAAAAATCCTCCTCATAAGTTAAAAATAAAATTGGTGTGAATTATACTTTTCTGAAGACATAATAGGAAGTTGAAAAACACCCCCCTTAGAGTGGTGTACATGTGTGCATGCCTGTATTTGTCTGTGTGTGTATATGTTTGCTCATATTTTTAAAAGAAATTTACTTTTATGCTTCTATCTCAGTGGACTGTCTGGCGTGGGATGAAAACATTGTCATATGCACATGAAACATGTGTCCAACTGGCCAGTGTTTTTCTCATTTGCTACAGCTTTAAGATCTTTAGCTCTACACATTTCAAATTTCTCAAAACCTGAAAACCAAGGAACAAGAACCATGCACAGGAGAAAATCTGCTTTTATCACACTGGGATTATTTTTCTGTCCCAGGTGCTCGAGCCTGGGCTTTCTCTTAGTCTAATTGATAACTGTTGGGCTCCTCCCCTTAACCCACTGACTTTTGTGCGTTCCCTTCCCGGGTGACTACTGTTTCACTGTTCTACCTCATTCACTTATGGTTGACCTGGAGCTCCTGGGTTAAGCTTCCCCACTGGTATTCAACCTTGGACCTTATTATTGTTCTACTCATCTGACCTCTGATACACTAAATTCTAACAAGGTGATCTGAAAAAAATCACTCATTTTTTTTTCTGTGTGGTTTCATGGCTCGTCTTTTTACTGCTCTTGGCTGATGTTCTTTTCTCCACTTCAGACCACCAAGTGCTCTGCTTTAGTTTGTCAATTTATAGTGCTGTCATGGTTTCAAATGCTGTGACCATTGTGCAGAATATACTCTCCTGACCTCTGAAGCAACTTTCTGTATTTCAATTGTTAACTCATTAGGGTTTGGAGGAACAGCTGAAAAGGGAATGGCCCTTTTCCCACAATTGCTTCCAATGAGATGCCTGAAGAGTCATCACAGTCCAGGATTAAGAGAAATCAAGAGGATGCTGCTAGAAACTAGCTCCAGTTATTTTGCATTCTTGCCTAAAGGAAACAAACTAAACCCCTTAATGCCCAAAAATACTGCTGTTATCATCAGTTCACCACTAAAATGCAAGGGGAAGTATATCAATAAAACTAATAATAAAAAGATGAATCAAATGAATCTGATTTGGATAATTCAAGTACTTTGCCAAAGTATTCCAAAAGCCACAGCATGTTCTTTAAACATAAATTTTATATTTTACTACTTTCTCTGTCCTCACTCAATCCTTTGTTTGCACTGGCCCTTTGTCTGGGTTCTGAGCCTTGAACTGGCTTCTCCCAATCAAGTTTTTCTAATAAATAGTTTTTTAACTCTCTCCCTTTGAAAATACCATTTGAAGAAGAAAAGAGAAGTGAATGGATAATACCAACAAAATTTATTCTGAAGTCAGCTTCCTAAGAAGAGTGCAGTCGTAACCATATTTATTACACCCCCACCTCCTCTAACAAACTCCTTCCTTTCTTTCTTTTCATTTAAGTGGGGAAATCACTCAGTGAGAAGATAAAGAATTGATTCTGTCGTTTATGGAGAGTTTTATAGCAATAGCAAAAAGTTAATAGTTTTAATTTTTGAATTTTCATATTGATGCATATTTTTTTATAAAGTTTCTCTGACCAACCAATTTCTAAACAGCAAAAATGGTGTATGGTTTTACCATTTAAAATAATTTAACGTAGCTTAGTATTTAGCAGTTCTAAACATGTAATGTCTAGTTACATGTGCACAGTTAAAAAAAAAATCAAAAAAAAAATCTATATTTTCTCCAGCATCACAGGTATTTAGATCAACCACAGATTTTGATTTCAACAGGAAAAAAGAATAATTTTTAGGACCTCATGGGAACTATGCCATTAACAACATCCTTAATTTTGAGAGACTACTTGGTACAGCATTCTCCTTGGTAGCACTAATCATGGCTGCGCAGTTTTCTGATAACATGAAATACTCTAATGCATCCTTCATTTTTTGTGTCACAGAATCATAATAACAAGAGCTTGCATTTTTGAAGGTCTCATCATCGAGTGTTTCAGAGCACTTTGCAAACACTAATTTAAACTTCACAGTCTCCCAGAGAACAAGGCTGGCTTGGGTGTATCTCTACTGATTTTACTTAGCATGATATAGAAATGACACATTTCCTCTAGATACTAAAATAATTTTTTACAGGTGGGTAAATTGAAGTATTGGCTCACAAGTGTCCTATCCATAAAATACAGACTGAGTCAGTAAGACAATGAAATCAGTATTTCATATCTGGTTTTCAGCCCTCTGAATCACTTGTTAATTCTTTCATCATGCTTGATGATTTAACATTTAACAGTTTTGATCTATTTAAGGCCACCTTTTTCAAAAGACACTCTTGTAAACTGTGTCTCTAAGCAATATTAGCATAAGTTTTAAATAATTAAAGCAACAGAAATTAGAGACTATTTTACCAGAATTAAAATGATGGAATAAAGTGGAAGGAATATAATCATTATAGAGTTGATGCTGCCTAAAAACTGTGAATGCATTTGATTGCCTATGTCAGACATCATTAGACTATTTACTTTAATAAAACAGTAAAGCCAATACTATACAGCAGTTTAAATCAATTTCCCTAGAATGATATCAGAGATGCCAGATCTTCCAAAGTTGAAGATTATTTCTTTTCTGAAAAAATAAGAAGCCTTCAAACCTTACTGTTCGATTAAAAAAAAATATATATATGTATCTATTTGCATGGATAAAGGATATCAAAAAGCAATTTGTGTTAGTGTTTGTACAAGCAATTGCAAAAAAAAAAAAAAGCTTGCTGATTGTGTTGCTGTGCTTCTTCTGCATCATTGTTTTTAACAGATGGTTTGCTATTATAACTGCCTTTGCTTCAACAAGAGTTTATAACCTTGCAAGTTTGGGGTTTTTTTGTTTGCTTTTCTTTTTTTTCCTTGGTGTTGTTGTGCACCATTCACATTTTAAAAGTTTATGTGGGTTACTTTGCTGGTGCTTTGAATTTTAGTTAATTCTGGTCTCTTATGCTATTGGGATAGTATTTACTATCTGTGCTTGATCTGGACCAAACATATTTTGATTGTAAATAGAAGGTCTTCTTTTATGAGGATGTTCACTTCACAGCTTGAGCAGTGTAATTTTTATACAGGTCTCAGCAATCAATAAAAAAGCCACAGGAGGAATGATTTATCTTGTTGGTTACAGAGACTGTCACCGAGAGAAATTGTAAAAGATCAATTTACACAACCTGGTGTGAGAACGTTATTGATATAACACGGCTGATCAGTTTCTGGTGGTGTGTGGGTAGGCAGAGAGGGAGCCCTGCCCTCGGATAGGGCCACTCACCAAGATCTTAATAGACTCGCTGGTCCATAAAATGGACATGAAGCCAATGAAGGGCGAGATTCTGCGTGCTCATGGTACACTGAGTGGCCTGCAGGAAAATGGATTGGCTCAGCTCCGATTAGTTAGTTAAGCAGTGTCATGCATCCTCTTTTTTTTTTTTGTTGTTGCTTTTTTCTTCTTCTTCTTCCCCCTGCTCCCCCTCCTACTGTGAGAACTGTTCACTTGGAGGCTCACTGCCTTAATTACAAAGGGCCTTTTTAACTACAGGTCACAGGAGTTGGCTCACTTGACAGGAAATAAGGAAACAAGCTACCTTCCTGGAAAAAAAAAGAAGAAAATCAAACTTCCACTCCTCAAATTAGTTAAATGAAGCTTATCAGCACTTGTTAGTTGATCCTTTGACAGTCTGTTAATTGCAGCTGGTACATTAAGTTATGTTATAACCAGCAGGACATATGATTAAAAAATAAATAAATCTACGGGTATGCCACACAGCATTGTTGGTAGAGAAAACAAGGTAAGAACAATGTTGATATTTGCTGTAAATATCACAGCACAAAAGACATTTATAGACTATTTCTTTCTTATTCTGTACAATTAAATTGCATGCTAACTCAGGGGGTTAGTTTGGATCAGAAAAGGGCTTCTCTACACAATGAGATTAGAAAGGTTCTCATTGCATCTTAATAAAATCCAACATTGGCTACTCCGTCAATATAAGTGGTGAATATCTACGGATGTTATACATGCAGCTTTTAACATGCTTCTCCTGATATATGCTCTCCATTATATTCTTTAATTTACAGACAATAATTTCTTACTGTTATTACTGGAGGGAAAGAAAAGAACATTAGCAGCATTAAGAAACCCCACGGCAGTTGTTTCTCCTTCATAGGAAGTGACTCTACAGTATAACTGCTAGCAAAAATAAAGGATCCAAAGGCACATCAAGGGGAAAAAACTGTTTTCATGCATTTAACCTGTTAATTATAGTAATCTACACTACAGTGTAAGTATTGTAACCTGGAATGGGAAATGGGTGATTGAAAGAATGAGCTGACTAAGACAAAAATGATTAAATCCACACTTTGAATGGATGATTTTCATATGTAATTTGAACTACACATTCTTAAGTTGTTTCATTTTCGCGTTTCTGTACTCATTGGCACGTATCAAAGTGAAAGACTAGCTGAAATTAATGTTTTCTTACCTTCATCTGCCAGAGTAGTTTAAATACTTCTCAAAGTAAAGAACACTGAAAGATGTGTTCTTCTGGACCCATAATATGTGCTTTAAGATGTGTTTTGTGCTTATTATGAAGTAATATTTTGAAATCCTAGGCATCCCAACAATATTGCTTCTTTTTATCTATGGAAGGACACATAAAAAGGCAAGATTAATTTCATACCACTGAATATTTAAAGTCCCTAATAGTTATTGTCATATTAAAATATGATTGAACTCACCAACAGGCCTCTCACTGTGTTCATGTGAACACAGTCCTAAGCACAGAAAAATGTCACATCCCATCTCCCCATATCCTCTATGAGGGGAGAGGGGCCCTTCACCCCAGTTTCTTCATATCTCAAAGTCCGATTCTTTTTTCTGAAAATGGAAGGGCTTCAAGTGCTGTCCCTCTTCCTATGCCTTCCTGTACTCAGATCAGAAAAGAAATAAAGCAATTATGACCAGAGTGAGACTCTATGGAGCTTGTGAGACCAAGGGAGAGGAGTGGGTGAGGGAAGAAAATGGTGATGGCCAGATGTGGATGATAGCTAGAAGCCAGGGCTAGTGGAGAAAGGACAGAAAGGAATGTGAAGAACTTATGTTCTTCCATGCTGAAATGACTTGCTATTATTCTACATCCATGTGTGCTAGTAACCCCTCAAGGCATACAAACTTCTGGAGAGGGTGGTAGCCTGATTGAACTGTGGGTGTTGTGTCTTCCCAACCACAGAAAGAAGAGGCTCCCGTTTCTGTGGATGCCTAATGAGGTGCAAGGATGGCCACAGTGCCTGTTGACCTGTCTTACTCATCCTTGTGAATTGTGTTCTAAGCCAAATTTGGCAATAAAGATCTGTTTATACCATGACTTCAAGTGGTGGGTGGGCAGAGAAAGAGTTGTTTTTCTTTACCGCTCCCAGGCCACTCACCGCCTCAGGCAGTCTGAAATCATTAGCCAGCCATATTCCTCCCCTGCCCTTCTCATATGGAAGTTGGGCTCTTCCCAGAAATCAAACAAATGCTCTCCCTCTCTCTGACACATGGATGTTACCTTAGCAGAGCAAACCTGGACATGTTGCCACCAAGCTGTCAAAGTCCAGTGGTCATCTTCCTTTCTGCTGTGAATTCTTTTCTATTTCTCTTCCCTGTGTACAGGGCTGCTACTAAATGTACATTATGGTCCCTGACTCAAACTCTGACGACTTCTGTGACAGTCCCTCAAATTAGTAGCTCCTTGAATTGCAGAAAAACATATTGAGGAAGTCCTTCACCAAGATTTTCCCTGATTCACTGGAAGGGCAGCTGGTAACAACACCCTGTTGTTAAAGCCTTTCTATTATAGAAAATCCCCGTGACCTTTTATTTTGAGAATCTCTCACATTTCTGTTGTTTGTAGAAGGTGTTTGGTATTCAGCAGAGGAAATCCCTTCGGGCCACAGAAGTCTCTTCTCTTTGTCCCATAAAATTCCATTTAGGATGCAAAGTGACAAAAATTGTCATTACCCGTCTCTTATTTTTATCTCTTGGGAAAACATTAGTAGACTCCAGGCTGCAGGCCAAGCTCACACTAACACTGCCAACACCAAAAGACAGAGACTGAACCAGCTGAAGACAAGAAAATGGAAAGATAGGTGAAGAAGAGGTTCAGACTGTGGTCTTACATTGCTAAAATTCCAAACAGAGTAGTTTCCATCCCAAACTATCCCTAAAATACTTAGCTTAAGGGGTAATAGAACAGGCTTCTTGACCCTGTAGACTCAAGATGTTTTCCTCATTCACATACACACACACACACACACACACAAACACACACACACCCATTTCTCAGCTAATGTGCATCTGTACAGTTAAAGATCTCAACAATCCTAGCAATAGCACCCTTCACTGCAATGCAGCAGGTTCAAGATTCATGTGTAACTTCTGATGCCAGAAATAAGAAGGAGTGTAAAATAACTCCCAGCAGAGTTATCTTTAAATTAAGTTTCCTGCAGTTGCAAGAACTAGTACTTGAGAGTTAAGAAATGTCTCTGAACCCTAATTTAGCCTCTTTTACATGAATGTGTTCTGGTGCAAATGTGTGTTACACGTGATCATACTACATTTTCCAATTGATCCTGCTTAAATCCGTATTCAGGGTGGACTGTTCAGAGGGTAGGAGAAGGTTAGCACATACAACCAAAAGGCTGACATTTTAGTCCTGCATACTTGATTTTACAGTCCAAGTAACTATTTTCAACTAGCAGTTTGTGGGTCTGGAATCTCAATGTTCTTATGCTCAGAAATAGTGTGTGCTATCCAGTAAAGTCATACTTGGGTCATGAAGGTCATTTCTTTGCTAAAAAATTACAGAATTTAACCATTTTCAATAATTATCTAGAACCCATGAAAGCCACACAATCCATGTCGTTAATGTAGATTGTGAATTCAGCCACTGAAGGTGTTGCACCCTCTTAATATTTTACTTCCTATGCAGAGAGATCTTTGCAAGACAACGTTCTTTGTCTTGGAATGAAAACCTAGAATTTGCTTCTTCATCATTTAACACAGACATATATTGATTACTGTGCTCAGGTGCTGATCTTATTCAGGACTCACAATTATCAGATTCTGAGATGGACCCCCAGCTCCACACACACGCACACATATCAAGAGAACCATATTCAGCTTCAACCAAAACTTTTCATAGCTAGAGTTGTATGAAAAATAAATGTCTAGTTTAGAGGCTTTAGTTTAAGAGGCTTTAGCAATTTAGAGAACAGCAATATTTTGCTTTCAGAATTTCTCCTGATATAGAATTATGAGATTTTTTTGAACTCTCTCATGGGTTTCTGAAATGAAATATGCTCTCAGGGACTTGGAAACTGGTGGGTAAAACTGACATTGTTCTTGCTAGCTTCCCTTCAGCTAACTCCAGAATAGCAGCAGTTCAAAGACTCATGCACAAAGCTTAAAATATATTTAACCTAATGGAGAAATATTTGTTGGTGTGATATAAAGGTCCTAATATATATATTTGAGAAAACAGACTAGCTTCTGGTCCTTTATTATGGTAGCTTTCTGGTGAGTTTATTGGTAGTAAAAAAGTATGAACCAAATTTCTAATGGCTAAATGCACGTAAGAGACCCAGCTAAGATGGTCTTCTGCAGCACAGGGAGGCACTGAGCATTGTGCCAAGCCTTGTGGGAACATGCCTCCTCCAACTTGCTATTTGCTTTCAGCAGGGATAGGGCTAAGAATGTGCTGCAAATCCCCAGCCACGCCGACGCTCGGCAGCACGTGTCACACACTCGGCAGCATCGCGTCAGGCAGGCAAACTGGGGCTCTGATGATTACCCCTCTTCCTACCACCAGTTAAAAAAATAGAGCTGGAGACACTGGCACCAGGGCAGAGGCTCAGAAGCAGTGCTGTTTGGAGGATTGTTCAGCCTCTCTGCGGATCTAGAGGGCAGAAATCAATTTATAATTGCATTGGATACCATGAGATCTGTATCACCACTCTTCTGGAAATGAAAGGCAGGTAATGAAACCAGACAAAATGAAGACATTACCAACTTGTGGCACTTATTCATAACACACACATGAATAGAAATATCTCAGGTTGAACTTAGGACAACTGTCAGTAACTGCAGTTCAAATCATCTGGTCTCTTTCCCTAAACAATTAATTTTCTTACGGCAAATGCAGTTGTCACAGCAAATTTGCATTCTGATGCAGCGTGTGCATCTGTGTTTGTGTGTTCTTTTGTTTTATGGCACGGCCAGTGAGTTTGGGTGTGCTTTACTCAATTGAAGGCAAACTTATTTTAGGTGTTTAACTTAGGACAAATTGAATTATGCCTCAAAATTGTCTTCTCCCTTCCATCCAGGAGCCAAAGTTAATGAGACATAGAAGGCTGCATCTGTGTTACCTCAAAAAGCAGAGTGGTAGTACCCACCTGTGTGCTCTCTAAAGGCTTTTATTTCACCAGTATCACAAACAGTGATGGCATATGGTCTTGGTGCTGGTGATGTAACTCCTGGCAGTAGTTCTGCTGCTAATGCAGAGAGCTTATGGCATTTTTGTCCCTGTGTTTGCTTGCTTCCAGGTTATGTGTATTTTCTTTTGAAGCTAACTTAGGTTTAAAAACCTTTTATTCAGAGAACTTGTTTTGACACCAACACTTATGCCTCTGTGATCAAAATGTTCTAACCTAGAAAATGTAGGCTTTTTGGTCGGATTGTTGAGTTTTGCCTTGTTTTTATCTTGTTTTAAGTTCATTTCTCTTTGGAAAAAGTCATTTTCTGGCACACTTGGCTGTACATAGCCAGAGTTTACAAGGTGCACTTAAATTGAAATATCAAAGAGAACTGTTGAAATGATGTGCTTGCAAAATGTGTGCAATTATCTGCTATTAACTCATCTGGAATCCTGTGATGAGCAAACTGTGATTTTCAATGTGTCATTACATTGTTGCATCAATGGGCTGTTCAACAGCTCAATTTAAAAAATACTCAAGAAATGATCATTACAAGAGGTAATCCTTCCAGTTTGATTCAAATAAATCTGTTCCTACACTAGGCTGACGTGATCATGGATCTCATGAGGTTTCCATGCTTTGTTTGCACTTGCTTTACAGTATTTACTGCTGATTTTGTTGTTGTATGTTTTATTTTTTGATAAGACATCTTGGATTCTGTTTTCTAATTATGTAGAGAAGAATGAGGGATAATGCTACCATCCTTGATTTCTTGTCTTTAGCGACAATGACACAGTGGTGATCTTTACACAGTGTCAAAGTACTTGTTTTGCTATTATGGTGTTACAATATTTTTTATCCTGTGGATAATTTTGCCTCTTCTGGTGAATATTCAGCTGGAGTTACTCTCTTCTAGCACTGAAAAGGTAGATCTGTTTTGTGTTTTCATTTGAAATTAATTTGTTTGGGAAATTGTCAGCTGGGTACTGGACTTATCATTTTACTGTGGCTTTTTTCTTTTTCTGCTCAATAGATAGATGATATGGAAAATTTGTCTTGCAGAAGAAACTATCAAGTATGTTAAATATGTAAATATACCAAAAGTTAACATTCTTAACAAAATCCCTTTATTTCCACTGATTTTTGCCTTTAAAAAATGATTCTGTAAAATGGTTTCCAAATTTCTCTATGGTCAGACACTACATATTTGAACTTGATTGGCTTTTCTTTCTTGTGTACTCTGGAAGAACTGCTTGTTGACAGAAATAATTGCAGGATTATTTTTTTTTCCCCTCCCAACAGAGCATATTTCCACTCACTTGTGACTTGGGACATTTTGCTATTGGGCAATCAGTTTGAAGAAGTTTGTGCTCATGTTTTAAATTCTATATAAACTTAAAAGCATTTCAGTATTCTTGCTTACCTGGTGATTTTTCTTCTAGCTAATCACTTGAGGTAACTGTAATGTAAC